TTGGAGAAGAAATTTGAGTTAAAGAATTTGGGAGAAATACAAAATTATCTTCGTGTGGAGATACAAAAAATTGAGAAAGGTGGTTATGTTCTCAGTCAAAGAATAAAAACTGAACAGCTGTTGGAGAGATATAACATGAAAGATTGTAATACTGCTCCAACACCTATGAGCACAGATTTTCATAACAGTTTGGGTGAGGACAAAAGTGAAGCCGGTGATCAAGATATATATCAGTCAGCAATAGGGAGCCTGTTATATCTATCACAATTGTCCAGACCAGACATAGCTTGTGCAGTAAGCATTTTGAGTTGCTTTACTGCTGTACCAACACAATTGCATTGGATGGGTGTAAAAAGGATTCTCAGATATTTGAAGGGAACTGAATTTGGGTTTTCAAATACAGGTATTTGAAGAATATTAAGGTAATTGGATTTATGTCTTTCCAGTCATGAATGGAGGAATGTCAATGTATTCATGACTGGCAGAGACATGGTAACAAGGTCAGCCAACGAATAGGGCTTAGTAACAAGGTCAGCCTATAGGAGCTGAAACAGTTTGGAGCCTGGGCGTGGCTTAGTTCTGTAACCTCTGAGTCTGTGCAAAAGCTGCAAACTAGTCTGCTCTCTGAACTCTGAACTGAAAATGTTTTCTCCTCTGGCTGTTGGTATTGTATATTCACTTATGTGTTATATTATGTATAAAGAGAAGTTAAACAATCCTGCTGAATCAGTTACCTGTGTGTGCTTTGCACAGCGGTGTAGAAAGCAAAGGGAAGACTACTACACTATGTATTTCCCAGAAAAATGTTAATAAAAATAGGATTGCCAACATGATCGCCAACGTCCTATGATGGATATGGCACAAGAAGAAGAAGTGTGTGCTTCTGGATTTGATTTCTGCAACAAACTCTGAAACCCCCTTCCCCCCATCTCTACTCTCTACATCCCATTGCCCACTCCTCCCACCCCACCCCCTCAGCATTTTATGACAGGATGCCAGCAAAACATAGAAGCTGAAGATGACAGATCTGACAAATAGGTGATCATAATTTTTTTAGGAAGTATTCTTCATTTAAGCAAGTTTGTTAGTACAAGCAAAAGGGAATTTTTCCATATTCTGCAATCTCAGAATGGTTATTTAGAAAAAAACATTTATGCTGTTTTTTTCAGTCGAACAATGGCTTTCAGCAAATAAAAAATGATGAGTTATGATGAGTGTATTAGGGTTATTTTAATTGTCAAATTTGAAATGGAATATTATGACTTCATAAGCACTGTTCCACAAATGTACCGTATTTTTTGGAGTATAAGATGCACCTTTTCCCCCCAAAAAAGAGGGTGAAAATCTGGGTGTGTCTTATACTCTGAATGTAGCCCCACCCAGCTTCTCAAATGGAGGTTTCAGGGGCTGAAAAAAGCATCAGAAACAAGGCTTCAGAAAAGAAGCCCCCAAACAGAGTTTCAGAGACTTTTTTTCTGAAGCTCTGTTTTGGAGGCTTTCAGAGGCAGAAAAGAAAGTTTTTTCTGAAACGAGTTTCAGAAGTTTCAGAGACAGAAAAAAAAAGAAAAAAAAAGAAAAAAAAAAAGCAAGGCACAGAGCTCACAACCAAGGAACCTGTTGCTAAAATTCACGAACAGCTGATTGGGGGGTATTCCGGGAGGCCAATCCACCTGCCAATCAGCTTTTTTCTTATTTTCCTCCCCAAAAACTAAGGTGCGTCTTATACTCTGGTGCGTCTTATACTCTGGTGTTTTATACTCCAAAAAATATGGTAAGTAAAATAGAAACTGAATTCATTAAAAAAAGAACAAAATCAAAGTAGAAAATTATAATGGAATAAATATCAGCAATGATCTAAAGATCAGAGTTTCTCCAGATAAGAACTTTGTTTTCTTCTCTTGCATGCAAGACATTTTTTTTTTTATTGAGATATGTTTTCAGTACATTGGTTCCATGGGTCATGGGAAACAGAGTACCAGCAACCTCTCCTTTGGTTCTACTCCTTCCCTCTTTAAACATCCCTTTCCTTTTCTTTGTCCTCTGCCCTAAAAAATAAAATACAAATCTTGACCAACAAGATAACCCTCAGCAGTCCTAGAAAAATAACATCAAACAAATATATATGGGGAAAGATTAATGGATATAATCATAAAAAACGTATGAAGAAGGTTTGAGATTCTGAAGTGTCCAGAATTCACATCCCTCCTTCTAATCCAGGGATCCTCAATTTTTTTTAAACAGGGGGCCAATTCACGGTCCCTCAGACTGTTGGGGGGACGGACTATAGTTTGAAAAGCTGTTTCCAAGGGTGCTTGTCTGCACATTGATCTTGTGGCTGTTTCAGCCTTCTGGACACAGCTCCTTTAAGAGGCAACGCTTCCGAGGAACAAGGAGGGGGGTTACCATAGAGACAAGGAGTTGATGCTCCTAAGAGCTCATGTGGGAAGGTGAAGAATTGGGGGAAAGTGGAGGGATTCCCCCCTCCCTGTGGATCTGTGTGCAGGGGGTGTTTGTCAGTCTACCGGCAAAAGTGAGAGGGGCGAGGAATTAAGTTGGCAGCATGATCGAAGCTGGGCCCAAGGTAGGGGAGACTGCGGGGTTAGTTTGGCCAAGCAAATTATTACCACCACCCCTGCTATCAAAGTGGATCCTGGGCGCTGCAATGGAGAAATGGGCAACGGAACGGCCGGCATGAGGGAAGGAGGAGCAGGGAGAGGGAAAACATCCTCCTCCTTCCCTTGTGCCAGACACTCCGTTGCCATTTCTCCATTGCAGCACAGCGCTGCAGAGCTTGCCACACCCACCACCACCCAGATGCCCTCGCTTCCCCCAAGCATTTCTTTGCCTACCTAATTTCCACCTTCGTTGCGTTTCTCTGTCACGTTTCTCGCCATCATGTGCAGGGAAACAAAAGTTTGTGGGACTAAAAAAAGTTAAATCAATAATTTCAACCCAATGTCACAGTCCATCACACAGGCCTGGAAGGGCACACCTGCAGCAGGGTGGCAGGCGGTGGCAGCAGCGGCGGGGCATGCTCAGCAAACTGCTCGACAAATTTGGGTGGGTGGGCATACAGTGTGCCCAGGCAGCAAATGCAGGCCAGGAGGGCGGCCTTGCTTGGCTGCAGGAACAGTGGCGGCTCCAGGGACACTTGTGGGGGAGGAGGAGGAGGAAGGGTGCTGGGCTGGGACCGCAGAGGGCAGTGCCCACCTCAAGCCACTGCCCATGAACAGTACGCCCGGGTAGCCACGCAGCGCCAGCAGCAGCTCATGGATCATGGCTGCACCACATGGGGACTGGGCCTGAGACTCTCTTCGCAGGAGCCCCAACTGGCCTCCTTCGGGCAGAGCCAGCTCCAGGCACTAGATCGGTCCCCTGCGAAGCCCTCGTCTGCCGGAGCCTGGCCAAGGCCTCACTTCCCGTCCGCTGAGGCGCCCGGACTCCTGGTGACTGAATGGGGTCCTTCAGGCACTTAGCTTGGCCGCCTGTTTAGGAGCTTCAGACGCTCCCACTGAGCTGCACTGGGGTTTTGCCTGCACCGACATCGCTTGCTTAGAAGGGGGTGGGGGGCGGTTAGAGGAGCGCGGGCTGGATAAATTGCTTCGGCTGGCCGTATCCGGCCCGGGGCCATAGTTTGACGACCCCTATTCTAATCCATGGAAAAGGACTGAAAAGAATATAGGTAGTCCTCAATTTACAACAATTTCTTTAGTGATTGTTCAAAGTTACAACAGAACTGAAAAAAAGTGACTTATGACCATTTTTCACACTTATGACCATTGCAGTCTTCCCATGGTCATGTGATCAAAATTCAGATACTTGGCAACTGGCTCATATTTATGATAGTTGCAGTGTCCTGGGGTCATGTAATCACTTTTTGCAACCTTCTGACAAGCAAAGGCAAACCCATAACAACTAATTTGGAAGTTCTGGCTCTATCCAGTATAGTGACATTACTGATGAAATATCAGCCACAAAGTAAGGCATCATTTCTAACTTTCTAACTAATGTTAGTTAGAAACTAACATTTCTAACTGAGAGCCATAACAAGATGAAGATTTCATCAAAATGATGAATGCATTAGGACATCATGAGGTAAAGTTTGTCCCCCATGTATGACATTGCATTGCAAGCAGAAAAAAGTGTCTGTGTTGAGGCACAGGCTATTGGATTAGATTGCCAGAGACATCATATGCAAATGCCCCTTATTCCTTCCTGTCCACTTCCATTCTAATGATTCTGAGCAAGGTCATTAAGAGAAACGGAATAAGATTTCTTCCTTCCTCCAGAGACCTGCCCACAAACTGCTTTGTGAAAAAGGGATTCATCTTTAATTCTTTTATTAATTCAGGATAAAGTGGGGAATTTATTAATTGGGATGTTATCTTAAGGATGCATTAAGTGACTGTATGCAGCCTTCAGCTGGCAGTCAAAGGCTGCAAGAAGAGAGACTTTCTATATTCTGGGTCACAATTCCGATTCCCCTCTCCCACGCAGCCCATGCAGAGTTCCGTGTCTGCAGTCAAGTTTCATCGAGCTGGCTGCTGAGCTGGCAAAGAGCGAACGGTCCCTTTCAACGAAGCTGGCTCACGAGATAGGTACAATTCACACCGTCGGGCGTGGGCGAATACCATGATATTTCCACAGAAGTCTTCAAAGTGGGTGGGGTCGACTAGGAAACGGCCACAAATTCTTAAGAGAATAAGCCCAGTGAAAACTGGCAGCAGAGAAGGACAAGTTTGCTGCCACACTAGCTCAACTCCGCTTGTGCCTCACGTACGCGCGCTCCCCACCTCCCTTTAACGACTACAGCTGCTTCTGAGGAGACGGCACCCAACTGGGGCGGGGGAGGGGAAAGATCTCTGCGCTTTACCGCTCCCTGCGCGGGATTGGTTGGAGGAAGGGGAGGGGGCTTTCATCTAACGGGCGCGCGCGAAATGGGGCGTCCTTGAATACGCTGCGTGTGCCGACCGCGCCCCCTCCTTTTGCCGTGCGCGCGCTAGTGGCGTCTTCCGATCCCTCCCTCCGACCCTAGCAGGCTAAGCAAGCAGGCTGGCAGCCGAGATCGGAGGTGGCGGTTTCTGGGGGACTGCGAGCGCGATTTAGGCGACCGTGGGAGCCCTACGGGTGGGCAGAGGCGCTGCCTCTCTCCCCTTAGTCGTGGGAGAAATTAATTTCGCTGGTTCATCTATAGTACCAAGGTTGGGCACGTCAGCTCCCCCGTCCATCATCAGCCTCTTGCTGACGATCTTGGTGGGGGAGAGCGCGTGTGGCTGGAGAGGCCGATTTCGGCACCTCCCCACTTTTTTCGTTTTTCCAATTTTGATCATTATCACATCGTCGGGAAATAATTCTGACGCTACCGACCGAGATTTGAATAGTGCCACATTTGCGGGATCCATCGAGTCTTTAGTCTCTCTGCTGAAGCGTGTCCTCTTTCCCAGTCCTTTTATGTCTCCCCACACTTATTTTATTGACACCCTTTTATAATATTCGAGGGGAGGCGTTGGATTCCCCGCCTAATCTTCCTAAAATCCAGAGTCCTGTTCAGGAGGAGGAGGAAGAGACGACGGAAAGAGCAACCAGGTTAGTGATGACTTGTCGAAAGCCTTTCGACTAGAAATTGCCTCATCTTCTGTGTTCAGGAAGGGAAATGTGCATACGTATGTTATTTTAGAATTCTTTGTCTGAGTACTGATGCTTTAAGTGTTAATGGTGACATGCAATCGCAGCTGTGTTAAAAATATTTCTTGCTAGTTTTATAGTATAACAAAGCCTCTTCTGTTGTACTTATCTTTGGATAGAAGAAGATAGTCTGCTGCACAGAAAATACTTTCTTGAACTGTACTGCTTTAGAATACATTTGTAATGAAATACGTATTCTGTTAAACCATGACTTTCCCCTTCAGGCTTGCAGTTTTGCTCATGGTCAATTTGCCTTTTCTTTTTTTTTTCAATTTAATTTTTTTGTACTATAAAACGGTTTTGAAGGTATGTTTTTGCTAAATGATTCAAAATATTTTTTATCTCATTAGAGTCATATCACATATTTATGAGTAGTAAGTTTCATTTTGTCCAGTTTGAATGCTCCCTTAGCATCTTAATCAAATCTAATTTTAGATTATACATTTAAAATCACTCTTTTTTTTTCTTCAATAAGGCCTTAAATGTAGAAAGCTAACCTGGATTCTCTTTTTTCTTCTTGTTTTTCAGATACTGGTGATGCCAGGTACAGTCTTTGTAAGGGCCCTGTTCTGAGGAAGATCCAAACAAGGCGTTTGTGTGCTTTGAATGCTTAGTCTTCTAAGCTTAATATTATTTTTTCCTTTGTTTATTCTCCTTTCCATGGAAGTAATTTGAGGATTAAACCTCCCAACCAAATTACTTCAGTCATCAGAACAACGGTTAGGTGTGGACCATCAGGGTACCAGGCAAAAACAATTCCCATGACACCTTTCTTTTTTTTGGAGGTTCAATGACCAAATCATTCTTGAAGAGTCAAAAGGCACTGAGAGGACTTGATTATCCTCCAAGTGGGTGGTAAAAGGGAGAGGAAAAAAAAGAAAGTTCCAGAAATACCTCTTCTCAGAAAGGAGGGCAGAAGCAACAATTCATAAGCATTGCTGTTTTTCCCACCTTTGTGGTAAGTTATACTCAAGATTATTTATTTTTTTCACCCTACTCCTGTTGTAGTGCTAGATTAAGGAAGGGAAGGGAAGGAAATAGTGCTAGATTAAGGAAGGGAAGGGAAGGGAAGGAAAAGAGGAGTTTTGAGCATGGTCTTATACAATAATTTGGCATTAGGTTATGCAGTGTAGATGTTCAAATAGCTTGTGTCTTGAATAGACATCTCAACAAAAAGAAGAAACACAGAATGCAGAGGAACTTCCTACAATCCTAAAGAAAGTAAAAATGGAGTTGTTTTTTTCTGATGTATGGAATTATGGGAAAGAATTTAAAGGGTAATTAACTTCATAAGTAGCTGAAAGTAATTAGCTAGGTTTTCCCTTATGGACAAGTGAGAAGAAAAAGTTTAAAAAAAAGATGTCACAGTTGGCTGCACAGTGCAGAGAAATATTCCCTCTTCACCAGGATGTGGCGTCCTTAGCAAATAAAAGAAGTAGAGGAGGTGTATAAGTAGATTGATGCAGTCAAAAAGCATGTTTGATCACCTGGTTTCTGTGGTTATTTCTCTAAAAGGAGTGTAGCAATTGATGACTGGCTAATGTTTATGTTACCTTTTTGTGAAGATATTTAATTTAAAACTTAAATCAGTGCATAACATGTAAAAGGAGGCAGATTAATACAAAATCAGAATTAATATTTTTAGTTCAACTAGATTTTCATTTTGTAAATTCTAAATATTTCTTTATATAGAACATAACATTTTCAATAAATATATAAGTTTTATATAGTTTGCACCAAATCTGTATTGATTCTTTTCACCTATTGATTTTTAATGTTATATTTTTTTTAAAAGGTAGCCTTTTAAATAAATGTTTATAAATAACATTAGGATTTTAAACTTCTATAGCACAGATAATATTTGGATTCTCTAAATAACCTTTGTTATTTTTTTCCATACGTGGTTCTCTCAGATTAAATAAAATATGTTCATCCTGTCATATGATAAAGGGATGCATCTACCAGATTATCTAACTTTTTCCCAGGGAATAAATATTTCAGTTGATTAAATTCTTCCCAGAGAAACTTACTGCAAAGAAACAGTATGTTTTGTTAATATTTAACTGTATCAAGATACCATGCTTCTTGTTGTTGTGGGAAAAATGGAAAAAGATAGGTTGTTGCTTTGAGTTATTTATAAAAATAAGGGTAAAATAAAAATGAACAAATGCAATATACTATCTATCTTACAGATAAAAATAGCTTTAAACATTATTTTTATTTAAAATATTGATTATAGTAGTAAAAACTAATGCAAATTTAAAGAGAAAGGAATAGGAAGGAAGAATAAAGTGAAGAAAAAGCAAAGTGTGAATATAATGAAAAAGAATATACATACATATACATGTTATATATATGATTTCCAATATTCATCACAAGTATAAACAAATGTGGCTTTCCACTTCTATCATGGCTACAAACAAATATATCTTCATCCCATATCCTATCCCTTATCCATAAAACATCAACTTTTCAGTCAAGTCATCAACCAAAAGTCTATAAAGTGTTGGACAATTTTAAAAAGTGATTAGAAAATGAGGTTTATGAAGTTAGTATCTTTAAAAACTCTGCCAGTGTTGCAAACGAATGCTGATCCCTTCATTTCCCAGCACTCAGACGCACAAAAAACCACTGTCCTGCGGTTTCCTCGCATGAAGCAGCCATCTGGAACATATGAGTGCTGTCTCATCCTAATCCAGAGAAGTTCCAAGAAACCAGTTGACTCACCGGTTTCTTGGTCTTTTTTGTGGTCATTTCCACTTTTGCAGAGCTGTTTTCAGTTTGCCATTATCTCCCCTAGAAATCCTCTATCTTAAACATGGCTTGGGGCACTAATAAGAAATAAATAATAAAGATAGAAGCCAAGGTAAAACCGTACAATCAGCATAATCAAGAGATGGGCTGAATCATGCACCCTAAGCCCACAGATCTGTATTACTTCTCCTCCAAAAGGAATTCTTTTGGATGGGCAGAGATATCATTTTTGAATCTCAATAATTTTCCTGTAAGATTCAGATACTTTTCTTGTTCCTTATTTCTTAAATTTTCTTCAATCCTGTTATCCTGATTTCAATAAAACAGTACCAAAAAATAAAAATACTTAAATATTAAATGGTTTCCAACATTTTAATTAAAACTAAATTTAAAACTATTTTTTCTTTGTCCCCTCTTCTCAGCTCCAATTTGAGCAAGAAATAGGTGGAGCATTAGCTTTTACCAAATTTTACAAGAAAATGAAGTGTCATTTGGAATGGTTTATATGTAAGTGTGAGCTAAGTTTCTTACTTATATTTTTTAGATATTGCTTTCAAAGGATACCTAAAGTCTGCAGAACTACTTCAAGATGTGTAGCTCTGTTATTCCCAGGCTCTGGTTTTTAACAGATCGACGTATCCGAGAAGATTATCCTCAGCAGGAAATTCTAAGGGCACTTAAAGCCAAATGTTGTGAAGAGGATCTAGACTTCCGAGCTTTGCTGATGGATGAAGTGGTCTTGACCATTGAACAAGGAAATCTGGGTAAGAATACTATATAGAAGATATGAATTGATGACTAGAGTATGGAGGAGAATGTTTGTAGCTCAGGGTTGAAATGAGGGGTCCTTGGTGCTCTCTGAGCTTGCTTGTTTTCTTGCAGACGTTTCATTACCCAGACTAGACAGCATCAGTGCTAGTCCGAGTATAGAAATCTCAGAAATTATTGTATTTGGTCAGCCTGGCATTGTCTCTTGTTTTTTTTGGAAAATAAAGCAGATTAATAATTAAAATGGTACCCGCATCATAGCAGAACCCAAGGAAGATTATAACCACCCCAAGGGGGTGGGGTGTCAACCTAAAGTGCTATGTAATATAAATGTGTCACCAACTCTGTCCTGGCACTGAACATTGTTCCATATTACATGGCATATTTCTATTGTGCTGTACCATCAGTAAATTTCAACTGCAGTGAAAAGCTTCATACTACAGTCTTTCCCTACTCTGAGCTCATCTGATTTTTGGACTAATTCCCAGAATTCTCAGTATTGGTTAGATTGGTTGGGAGTAGCTCAATGAAATGAAATGATTATTTTTGAATTTTAGTTTTTTTTTTCAAATGAAAGCTATGTCGTCTTCAAAATGTTCAAATTCTGAAGAAAGTGAATTGATTTCTGAGTCAGTGTCCCACGAGAAATTTGCAGAGAGGTAATATTATAAGTGTACATATATTAATACCCATCAAAAAGTTATTAATTATGATTTATTTCATTTATGCAGTTTGTATCCATTATAATCAGCTGGTTGACAGATTTCACAAGAACATAATACAAATAAAACACTCATGTTAAGAATAAAATAGTTTAAAATTATTATAAATATATAATGTATGCCCACAATAAAAGAAAATAAATTTCAGAAATATTCAAGCAGCAAAAATTATAGAACAGTATTAATGGTGTACTTCAGTCTTCATTAGAAATAATACATGTAGTTTTTTAATAGTTATTTTCAACTGTTTGAAATTAAAACAGTGCTGAATGAATGAATGTCCTTGCCTGAAGTTACAGCTGTTGTTGCACTGTCATGGTCACATAATAAAATTTCAGGTACTTCAGACTTCAGGGGTGCTCTAATTCTCCACCTGCCCATCTCTTCCAGATCTAGGCTGTCCTGAACAGCAGCACTAGGCAGCCCTCTATATCAGCCCTAGCCCTGCTACTGCCACTCAAATGCCACTTCACTGTATTCTCCAAAATATGCTTGCTTTGGTGAATGGCACAATTGCCCTCACTGCCCAGTACTCCTGAGGTTTTGCTTTGTTCTGCCCACCTTCATGTGTTTTTTCTCCTGCTGTTAAGTGGCTGCAATGATCTATCTGAGGCAGCTCTCAGAGCCTCTTCATTCATGACTTTGGAAACCTCCAAAAGCCATATATGATTTTTGGAAACCCCCATAAGCCCTGCATAAACAGGGCCCATTCTTTGGAAACTTCTGAAGGCCCAATTTGACTTTGGAAGCCTCTGGAAGCCCCACATAAATAGGCTCTTTTCTTGAGCTTTCGGAGGCTTCTGAACTCATACAGGGCTTTCAGAGGCTTCCAAAGAACAGATCCTGTTCATGCAGGGCTTCAGAGGCTTCTGAACTCATGGATCGTATGAAATCATGTGCAAACAGGTTCTGTTCTTCAGAAGCTTCAGAAAGTCCCACTTGACTTCGGAAGTCTCCAGAAGTCACACAGAAATTTGGAAGCTTCTGGAAGTCCTGCATAGACAGGGGCTTCTGAAGAATTGAACAATAAGTCAACCCCCTCTTCTTTGTGAGATCCTTTTAATTAACTGAAAAACAGGTATTGTGTCCAATCTTTCCTTGAAAATCTCCAGTGATGTCCTGAAGCAAGCTATTCCATTGATTAATTTTCTCATTGTCAGGTAATTTTTCTTTAGTTCCAGATTGGATCTCTCTTTAATGAGTTTTTACCCATTGCTTCTTGTCCTGCCCTCTGGTGCTTTGGAGAAAAAGTCGACCTCCTCTTCTCTGACTGTCCCTCAGAGCAATGAGAGACCGCTATAATGTCACCCCTAATCCTTCTCTTTGATTGGTTCCACATACATACTTCCTTTAAACATTCATAATATGGTTTAGCCCCTAGACCGCTTATCATCTTTGTTGCTCTTCTTCTACTCTTTTTTAGGGTCTCAGGGTCTTTTTTGTATCATGGCAACCAATTGAATGCAGTATTCCAAGTGTGGCCTCACTAGTGCAGTATAAAGTGATACTATAACTTCTTCTGATTTTGATGCTGTTCCTCTGTTGATGCAACCTAGGGCTGTATTGGCTTTCTTTGGCAGCTGCAACACTCTGCTAACTCAGTACTTAAATGGTGGTCCACTAGAACACCTCTCAGTTACTACTGTTGAGCCAGGTATTGCCTATTCTATACCTGTGCATTTGGTTTTTCTTGCCTAAGTGCAGGATCTTACTTTTCTCATCATTGAACTACATCTTGTTGGATAGGGCCCAATGCTGAAGTTTGTCAAGATCCTTCTGAACCTTGAGTCAATCTTCCAAAGTGTTAGCAATTCCCCCCAACTTGGTGTCATCTGCAAATTTGATGAGTTCCCCTTTTATCTAGATCTTTTATGAAGAAGTTGAAGAGCACAGAACTTTGAGGTATCCCACTGCATGCATCCCTCCATGTACATGTAGTTCTGTTAAGGGCTACACATTGACTGCAGTTAGTCAGCTAATTGTAAATCCATCTAGTAATGGTACTGTCTGTCCAATATTGTTCTATTTTATGAAGAAGTAGGCTTCATAAGATAGAAGTCTATTTTATTAAATGCCTTAACTGTAGTCTAAGTATAATACAGGTAGTCCTTGACTTACAACAGTTCATTTAGTGACCGTTCAAAATTACAACAGCACTGAAAAAAGTGACTCGTGAGCAATTTTCACACTTATGACCATTGCAGCATCCCCATGATCATGTGATTAAAAACTCAGGTACTTGGCAACTGACTTATATTTATGACGTGGTCATAAATAGTGCAGTGTCTCGGGGTCATGCGATCACCTTGTGCAACCTTCTGACCAGCAAAGTCAATGGGGAATTTTATTGAAAAGTCAATTTTATGATGTTTGTGTATCTATATTTTTCTTGACTGTACACCGCCTTGAGTCCTACAGGAGAAAGGCGGTATAGAAATATAATAAATAAATATAATAAATAAATAAATAATGGGGAAACCAGATTCACTTAATAACCGTGTTACTAACTTAATAATGGCAGTGATTCACTTAACAACTGTGGCAAGAAATGTCATAAAATGGGGCAAAACTAAATGTCTTACTTAGCAACAGAAATTTTGGCCTCAATTGTGGTCGTAAATTGAAGAAATTCGTAAAATCTCTGATCTCCGTGTGTTTCGCTGTGCCCTCAAAACCATGTTGTTCCGCCAAGCTGGGCTATCAATGTAAAGATTTTAATTGGTTTTAAATGGGATTTTAAATTTGGGGTTTTATAAATTGGGCCTATTATTTAATAATTTTAATTATTTTTAAATTTTGTCTGTCTTTGTGTTTTTAATTAGGCTGTACACCGCCCTGAGTCCTTCGGGAGAAGGGCGATATAGAAATAAAATTAATAATAATAAAATAATAAATAAATAAAGATTACCTGTATATCCACATCATTTTCTTGATCCACTAATTTAGTTACTATGAAAAAAGGCAATTTTATTTATTTATTTATTTATTTTTCATATTTGTATACCGCCCTACTCCCGAGGGACTCAGGGCGGTGAACAGCCATAAATAAATACAAAGACATACAAAAGTTAAAAACTATTAAAAATATTAAATAATTTAGGTTTAGGTTCAAAGATTAAAACATCCAAATTTAACTGAAAGAGATTTAAAACCCAATTTAAAGCCAATTTAAAGGCCAATTTAAAAGGGAGAGTTAGGCCAGACCAGCCTGTTGGAATAAAAACGTTTTTAGGGCGCGGCGGAAGATGCGTAGGCCTTGGATCCTCCATATCTCCGGGGGGAGCTCGTTCCAGATGACAGGTGCCCCCACAGAGAAGGCTCTCCTCCTGGGGGCCGCCAGTCGACATTGTTTGGCTGACGGCACCCCGAGGAGCCCCTCTCTATGGGAGCGAACTGGTCGGTGAGAGGCTACTGGTGGCAGGAGGCAGTCTCATAAGTACCCTGGTCCTGAGCCATGGAGCGCTCTAAAGGTAGTAACCAAAACCTTGAATCGCACCCGGAAGACCACCGGGAGCCAGTGCAGCTCGCGCAGGAGGGGGGTCACATGAGAGCGCCACATTGCTCCCGTCACCACCCGCGCGGCCGCATTCTGGACCAGTTGGAGTCTCCGGGTGCTTCTCAAGGGGAGCCCCATGTAGAGAGCATTACAATAATCCAGGCGTGAGGTGACAAGGGCGTGAGTGACCGTGCGTAACGAGTCCCGATCCAGAAAGGGACGCAACTGGCGAATCAGGCGAACCTGATAAAAAGTCCTCCTGGCCACGGCCATCATATGTTGTTCTAAGGACAGCCGCGAGTCTAGGAGGACGCCCAAGGTGCGAACCCCTTCTGTGGAGGCCAACGACTCGCCCCCAATAGTCAGAGATGGCGCCAATGGACTATATCGGGACGTCGGAAACCACAGCCACTCGGTCTTGGATGGGTTGAGCCTGAGTCTGTTCCTCCCCATCCAGATCCGTACGGCCTCCAGGCATCGGGACATCACCTCGAGGGCATCATTGGGGTGGTCTGGGGTGGAGATGTACAGCTGGGTGTCATCAGCGTACTGATGGTACTTCACCCCAAAACCACGGATGATCTCACCCAGCGGCTTCACATAAATGTTGAACAGAAGGGGCGAGAGGACCGATCCTTGCGGCACCCCACATATAAGGGGCCTCGGGGTCGACCTCTGCCCCCCTGTCAACACAGACTGCGACCGGTCAGAGAGAAAGGAGGAGAACCACTGTAAAACAGTGCCCCCCACCCCCAACCCTTCCAACCGGTGCAGCATG